TAAAAACAAAAGGAGACAAAAAAATATATCACAAAACTGACTCCACAATATTGTTCAGTTAAACACAAACATAAATTAGAGTCGATACAACTATCAACGTTATATCTTTTTTTTGGAAGGATTAGTTTACACATTAAAATTAAAGAGCAATTTTATATATACGAGTACAAATCGGGTAGGGTATATAAAAAGTGATACGTACGCGCGAAGACAATCGATTATTAATTGAGCTGACCCCGGAAGCACAGACTAATATTTTGCAGCAAAAATGTTTTTCCATTTTTTTCCAAATTTTAATTTACGTTTGGCACACAATGGAAGTCATCGGTACAGGATACATCGCAAGGTGTAAATCGTCCGCGCCACAGCCAATTACATTGGCGTTAAAACTTGATCTTACAACGGAATTCAGAAACTAGTTACACAGCTAGTATATATTTCAGCAATTCTCTTAAGCCCCATTTTTAATAATCATAATTCCTTTAATTTAATTCATCTCTTAATATAGATCGAGACAAAAACTAGACACAATATAAAATATTCAACAAGAAATCTCGAAACATGAAACATTTCGCAATTTGTGTACACACTAGTACATAAATAAAGTTTACTAGAATAAAACAATCTCAAAAGAATGTTGCACAATGCCGCGCACGCGCGCGCGCATTTTTCTTTCGCGAATAAAATAATAATTTTATTATATCGACATTATAACGATTATAAAATAACACGCGAACGAAGAGTCGATAAAGATATAGTAATAAAGAAACGTACATACAAAAGAACATAAAATTGATAAAAGGATAGACATCACTGTCATTGTGGAGCGGTACTTACGATTCGCGAGTCAAATCGCAAGTGTGGGACCAAATTCCGTTACGGGGAAGAGGGCTGAAACCGTCAACGGGAGGCTTGAAGTGGATGATGAAGAAAGGAAAGGACGCCTCGAGTCTGGTCGAGTCTGGGCTTGAGCTCGCACCTTTTCATCGCTATTTATCTCTTCTCTAATTATCTTTATCGCGTATAATAAATATATATATATATTATGTGTATATATATAATATATATCATTATTTATATATATTCCACGTAATAATTTCATTTGTTCCTTCAACAGAACGCACGCGCTCGGCATCGGCCCCGGCGATCGTCGCGTCGGCCGTATTCGACACTCGACTTTACAAAGTTTAACCACGACAGAGGCGTCGAAGGCGTCCAAGGGTGCGTTTCCCGTCGAGGACGGTGCCGAGGGGTACGCTAGGACGTGCGCAACCCGCACGTTTCCTCCGCGCTCCCGGGAGAGGCGCCGAGCGATCCGACGTGGTGCGAACGCGTCCGCAGTCATTTTTTTTCCCTTTTTCTCTATTTTCTCTTTCTTATATTCCCCCCCTTTCGAGAAAAAAAAAAGAAAAGTCTTTACCGACAATTTTGGAATCCAAGATTCACATGCAAAAGCTACGTAACTACGTAAAATTTTCCACCGCGCGCGTGATTAATTATTTTTACTTTCCCTCGGCGCTCCCGCGCGCACGACAGTTAATCGCGATGACATCACTCGTCGATCTTGGTTATTTCCGTCCGTTAACCGCGAGGCACCCCGTGACATCTGGACCTCACGGCCCACGAAAATTGGCCGCGGACGCGCTGATGGAACCATGCGAGACCACCGTGATTTTGAGGATCAACATGATATGGAGCACGCGAAAGATCACGCGAACGAAATCGGCGCGCGAGACGTGACGGCTCAACGTTCGATTACGTAGCCGAGAAAGATATGTGGGGCAGGAGGGACCACGTAATCGAGACACTCGACACACGTTCCATCTTCACCGATCGATGCGTCGATAGATCACACGTTATCGAGATCGATGTATTTTATATGAGATTCAATTTTTAGATCCCCCACGATACTCGGAATCAAAGAGCTCGAAGCAGACTCAAAATATTCCCACTATAAGAGATTCTCGAAAATATGCGCAACTTTTATTTAATTCATTCGTTTGAGAACACCAGTAAAAAAATATCGGCGATACCTACCGTCAAGCAATATAAATTTTCCTTTCTCATTATAATTCAGGATGCTTGTAAATATTGCCGTTTAAAAATGATTTAAAAATTAACAAACAAAAATATTTATATGCATATTGTTTCATTTTCTCGGTCATATATATCACGCGTAAAATGGAATGCGCATAATTTTGCAATCTCTATGTCAATTTTATCGGAAAGTAAAAAGTGTGGAATACTCGCTTTGAGCTCTTCGACCGTCGATTTTATCCAAACAACGGTCTCGTGATACCAGCCGCACTTCCGTTGCACAATGTCGCTTTTCTTCCGGATGAAGTAACGAAGTTCGCGAGAACCGTCGGCGCCACGGTGTATCCGCAATAGAAAAAACGCTAACAACCGGCCTAATATTATTTAGCATCATCGTTCGTAGTAATATAATTAATAATAATAATTCTCTCGTATTTCTCTCCCGTCTCGCGTCATTTTTTTTTTCGTTTAAATATAAAAATGAAAACTAACATATCTTTGGCTTGTTCCCTTTACCAATCGGCAACAGCTCGCGGCTGCGGCGTGCATCATTATTTTTTGTTCTTTTGTTTAAATAACTTTTGTACAGTTTTGTACACTCAAGTGTGTCTGTGTACGCGCGTGCGTATCTTCATCATTTTTTTCCATGTACGTTTAACTCTCCTTCACGGTGTCGCGTGTGCATATATGTATATATACAAATGTATATATATATATATATATATATATATATATATATATACACATACACATGTGTACGCATTTTTTTTACGTATATCTGTGATCGTATTAGAATATGTTCTATTTTAACGTACACGGTCGTCTTTAAAGCGCGCACAAGTAGACTCCTTTCTGAATACGTGCGAATGTCCTACTGAGTACGTATTTGTGTTGTGTTTCTTTCTCTCTCTCTCTTTCTCTCTCTCTCTCTCACGCTCTTTCTCTTTCTCTCTCTCCCTCCCTCTCTGTCCCTTTCTCACTTGTCGTGTGTCTTGTTTCTTTTTGCAAGTGTATCGATTTGCAAGCTGAACACAGTGTGTGGCCCAGCCCCATATGCCACTGACAGCCTCGCGCGCTTCCGCGATGCTTTTCCGCGTCCTTTCGACGACAACGACCACGACGGCACTCCACATTTAGTGGATGGGCGATTTCACAATGTGGTCCGGTGGGATGAAGTGATACGCGGGCATAGGCACCCCCGATGTCTCCATCGATATCCTGAAACACAATCGGTCGTGTTATGAGAAACGGCAACGGGTTCATTTCTGCCGGTTCGTGTTCGCTCTGACGAAGCACGAGGGGAGAGTTCGAATGACCTCTGTGAACGATTTGAAAAATCGATCCACTTTCACATGTAGATCATACATATATATATATATATATATATATACATATATATATATATATATATATACATATATATATGCTTGAGAATTTTCAACACTACCTCCGAGAACTCTTCCCTCACACCCGTGAGAGAGAACCGAGACAATATCCCGACACATTTTCATCATCGGAGGAAAAGACTAACGAGGCTGACTTGGCCGATCTTTTCGTCCGAATAAAGTTGCAGCATGCGACGCGAAAGTAGAATGTATAACACGAATCTAGTAGACTTCTCTGTGACCGGCGTAGTATATAAAGTCCGCGTGTCACTTTTTATAATATTTTGCATGCCCGGGTCTACGAATTTTGTACGAACCATCAGCAGAGCGATATCACAGACATACGAAATCTGTGTCGAACCTGCAAAACAAATCTATTACTATACGTCTGCCGAAAATGCAGAGCAACAACGTTACGACGCGCGCGACTCCGCGGAGGTGGTCTTAATAGAAATTTTATCGCGTGATACTTTTTTTCAAGGGAATTCTCGCGAGCCCGGAAGGATTCGGATGGTTGGTCGTACATATCTGGTATTTAAAAAAAAAAAGATTGCGCAACGATTGAATTGGAAAGAAAAAAAAATGAAAACTGAGAAACGTATAGTAAATGAGAACTTCGCAGCCAACAGGATAAGTCGATTAACAGGACTACGAAGGAACGGATGGTGCTTACCAAAAACGGGCAGGAGCCTGGGTCAAGTTGGTTGGATGGATACATCTTCTCTTTTTCTCTCTCTCTCTTTCTCTCTCTCTCTCTCTTTCTCTCTACATCTCGCTCTGTACGAGTTTCTCTCTCTCTCTCCGATCTTGGTTACGCTTAACACTTACGTATACGTAGTGAGACATGGTACATATGTATATGCGGTTTTCAATAGACCGAATTCTCGGTGTACATTGAGCGTTAAAAGTAGCCAGTTCTGACCCGAATCCCACATTTGCCGTGATTTGATATAAATGTTGCACGAAGACGAATGTATGGCGCTGAATGTATGTACCAGAATACGGTCAAAATTATGTACAATTTGTTCAACGGCAAAAAGTGCAAAAAGTGCTCGCGTAATAAAAAATCGAGAAAAATTTAGCGCAAAGAAAGAACTATTAAATTTAAATTTAAAATGTAATTAAGTACTATTAAATGTCAAGGCAGAAAAAACGGTGAAACAGGCCATGTCGCATTCTCGTAACAAATTGAGATATCTTCATATGCAGAATCGTCCCTAATCAAAAGTAATATAATAAAACGAGTGATATATATGTATCTTTTTCGTTGACTTCAATTTTACTGATATGACAAATCGTCGAAAAATTGAAATTACGAAGAAAACTGTATGCTTAAAAAAGAAGGTGGTAATAAAACGTTTAAGTGCCATAAAGGTGGTCGCGCAATATATTGGAGATATTTCCATTTTCAATCATCCAAAAAAAAAAAAAAGAAATGTGTTGCCTGATACGGAAAATAAGATCGTTGGGGAATAAATTTTCCACTGTCCATTATCGAACGTTCACGTTTATCCACGTTACGCATCTTTCCCGCGAAACCAATGTATTGCGGGACCTCACTCGCAGGACCGCCAGAGCTGTTTTTATTTGGTATTGTATTTTCCTCTTACTGTATTAAACACGCCTAGCTTTATTTAACAAGATGATACAGGGTGGCTAAAGTCTGTTAAGCATGTAAGCTCTGCGATATCGTTATAGACTAATGTACAGCTGAAGATTATCTGCCTACAGGATTCTATGCATGATGTAGGAATACCAGACACACAGCAATGGCTTCTCTTATTAAATATCTGTCCAAAGGAATTCTATATTCTCGTTAAATACAATGCAAGTATTTTTTTTTCTTTTTTTTAATTGCATCTGTAAAATAATTTCTTTACTTATTATAGGTTATGCGCATCGCTTCACTTGATATACCTACATGCATGATGGGACTGCGTACTTTCTAACGCATTACCCTCGCGATTTTTCCCACTTATGCTGTTTTTTTTTTCCATCGTGAACAGTCGCTTAGAGTCCTGGGCGTGAGTTTTATTGTCTCGAGAAAAAAAATGGAACGAGACCGTACAATCTAAAATGAAAGAAAACGCAATGAAGATATCTCGCGATCATGGCGACGGTTGATCCGATCGGCATACACTTTTCTTGGCAAACGGAAATTCTGATTCTTCATGCTATCACCGCGCGTTCCGATAAACCATGGCCACGCTCGCGATAGCTACCAGTACTTGTGACAATCCGATCGTTATGTCCTACACCCGATCGGTCGCTATACTTGCAAGTACTCGCTATGAACTAGAAAATTGAGCACACAAACACTTATATGGTGATTCCATTATTAATCAGTTTTTATCCAGGTGATATACCTCGAATATCTGTCAAAACAGTTTTTTCCCTTTTTTTCCGTGATTATGTTAGATTTCGACCGGAATCGATCGAACGTTTTCTTCCGCGGCTAGACGACTCCATACTTTTCCGATCATTTTATAGAACAGTAAATCAAGAAGACGCTCGAATTATCGTGGAATTAGAAATCTGACCGTGTCTTTTTGTGTATATAATACGTGTTTTATTAGTTTAATTTCACAAAAACATAATTTACACGCGATTCCATGCAGACCTTGGTCGTCTCGCGTGCATATAAGGATTAAGTTTATTACCGTTACAACAAATACACTATGTGTATAGCTTGATTGATTATTTCATATTGCGATGGTCGATTATAATGCTTCCAAATTCACCGTGTTCGCATTCTTTGCGAACTTTTCGATCGTTCTGTAGATCGTTTTTTTTTCTTCGTAAGAAAGAAGACCGCAAAAGTTATCTAAAGCACGTTACATGATTATGACATAGTGCATTCTCAACACGATTTATTACAAAGACTGATAAACACATGATTCAAAAGACGATTTCTCTCACGCACTTTCCTTCCTTTTCTCTTCATCACACATATTCATTCACGCGCGCGCGAAAAATTTTCCTTCTCTATCGATAGAATTTCTAACTACTACGAGAAAAAAATCACATCAGAATAGCTATACTAATAAGAATTTTTGCTCCAAACAGTAATTAATTATAATTCATAATATTGTAATAATAATTACAATAATAATATAAGTATATATTTATATATAAAAAAAGACTGTCTTGCGACGGGTGCATGAGCGATCGCGTCCTCCGAGCCTATCAGAAACCGCTCGTAGAAAATAAAACGTATGACTAAAAAGCTTTAATAATTGCAAGGGATCTCAAGAGAATTTATCATTAATGATTTCCGCCGCTTCATTACATCACACAATCAGTCTTTACACGATAGCGTCGAACATCCCGATCTCGGAGGGCGTGTCACGATAGTATATGTGTTGTTTCTAAGACTTAGCATCGGATCATACGATTTAATAACGCAAAAGATTCCAAACACCGACTCGAATTCTGTCCTTTTCTTTTTCCTCGGCTAACAATAATACATCAAAAAGAAATAAAAATCCTACAAAATGTTTCAGCACAGTGATTCTTAGGAGGAAGTGAGCGAATATAATATGGGCAAGCGGAGCATTTTTGTTATCTCTGAAAAAACGATTCAAAAACGTTTCATTTTTTTGAAGAAAAAAAACTTACCAAAATCAGTTAAAGATGATCTTTCGTATGATCGAGAGAATCATCTTCTTCATCCACGCGATGTTAATCATTTCCGTGTACCACACAATCCACTTATTTAAACAAAACTTATTTTAACTCGTTTAACTCATTTAACTCGTGCTCACGCTCCCATCTTAACAATCATTTTAGTAACAAAAAACAACGAGTCGATCCTTCGCCAAGTCTTCGTACTCGCTACCCTGGCGTCCGTACGCACTTTACTTCGGTGTATTACACAAGTGTACGCTATAAGAGTGTGTAGTAGTAGATTTGTGTGTATGTGTATAGTGTTCCCCCTGTAACATCATCTTTTATCATTCCGCCGCTCGTCCGTTCATTCAGTACGGATTATACTTGGTACGCTCGGACTTGAACTTGCCGCTGTCGGTCGGGCCTGGTGCGCCCGGGCTACGGAGCCTCGGCGTAAAGGTCTTGTGCGATCGGTGCACGCCGGTAGTCTGGACCGGTAGCGCGGATGCAGCTGCGCCAGCAGCACCACCTAGTAATTCCGTGAGTCCGCCGAGGGCGGTGAGGCTAGATAGGGCGTTGAGGGCGCCTGGCTTGCTTAGCAGCTGAGCCAAGGGGATGGCGCTGGCCAAAGGAGAGGCAGTGGTAGTGGTGGTAGAGGGGGAAGCACTGGCCCCGGATGCTCCGGGAGTGGTACCGCTGCCAGGGGTTTGGGTATTTTGGGCCTCTAGGTTAGCTTTCTGCAGTTCAACACTGGGGAAAAGACACAAAATGTAAAAAGGTGAGGGCGGGAACGTTCCTCGTAAAACAGTGTCAAAGAGATTTAAAAAAAAAAGTAATAGAACATAAGAGATGATAAAAAGTAAAGAAGAGAACAGTAAAGTAGTAGCAATAGTTATAGTAGTAGTAGCAGTAGGAGTAGTAAAAGTAGCAGTAGTAGTAATAATAATAGTGGTAGCTGCCGCGGAGAACACAAGACGTTGTGAAAAAATATATATGAGAAGAAAGAAATTGTCAGAAAAGAAGATAAACTAAATCACAAGTTGTAGGCTTAGAAAGTTACGTCAGAGGTGCTCTGTGGAGCATGATTATCACGTACACCGGCTACGTGGTTTGTGGGTGGGGCGGGGGAAGGTCACAATCGCGTCAGGTTGCATTTAGACCCTACCGAATTGTTCGCGGGCATTCATACCAGACATAGACTGGACTCGCAAACGAGCGCCACTCAGCCGTGTCGGTGGAATGAGGACGCCGAACACGGAATCGGTCGAAATGCGATCTGACCGCGAGGAGCGCGTAGCGGAGGATGCACACGAAGAAAAGATGAACACGCGTTCGCTAGTCTACTTTTTCAGAATACAAATTTCTACAAAAACAAATGTCACATCCACCACTAATAAGTAGATTTGCGAACGATGCGATTGTTTCTAGGTGTAACGGGCTCGTGGTTCGTTATACAGACCGGGAACCGGGGAGAGGGACACCATTGAGGGACACTTCCGTTTCGTGAATTGCGTTCATTCGTAACTCGCGTCAAAAGTCGATGATCTCCACGGTGCCGGCGGTAGAACGAGCCATTTGCCTCGTGGCTTATAGAAAAGGCAGAAATCAAAGTAAACCAGGCACAACAAGTATGCACTCTGCCACAAGTCGCGTTAATCGCGTCACGCTGCAACGTTTGAGCTAAATCACGAGATATACGTCCAATCGCGATGACGGATGGTCGATGATTAACCCTTAAACGTATATCATCTTAGAGAAATTAGAATTAAGTGGCAGAGCGCAGACCCGTGGCCGATGGGAGTGCCGGGATACACGATACGTAATAAATACGATGACAAAGTTAACGGGCAAAATACAGAAGTATCGAGATGATAAATATATATAACGGTAATTGCGCTATTTATATGCAGTAGTAAAATGTGAGTGGCAATCTGGAATAAAATATAATGGATTATAATTATAACGTGAGGGTGTAAACGTGTAAGAGTGTGTGTCGATCCGCGTGTTTAAATCATACTCGGCTTGATGCTTGGTGGGATCTTACGTGTGGCGCGAGCTTGTGCCGATTTTTTGTCTGTCGTCCTCGAATCTCTTCGACGACTACGTTAGTACCGTTCACCATTCTAATGTCGCTATGATGGAAGTAGATTAGTTCCACAGCATAATTCAATTAAAAAAAATAAAAAATAAAAAAAAATAGTAACAGATCTTCAACACCGACCAATGAACATTAAGCAATGGCAACAACAGCGATGAAAGCATATAACTAAAATATAAAGATGCTACGGCGAAGGTTCCTGGCAAGGACGAGGAAAACCCTTCACATTTTATCGCGCAAATAAAGACGCGATGTTTACGGAACGCTTTTCTGAGTATAATGCCAGAGAAATACTCGCAGCTCCAAAGATAAATGTATCGGTATCTTTTTTTTTCTTTTTCGCGAACCGAGTTAAATGACAAAACAGAATTACAAGCGGTAAATGTTACAAGCTGATCGTCCATTACCGGGAGCCTGTCAAACTAGAAAGAAATTTGTGTCATTAAAAAACCGAATCGAAAGGAGGAACTGTGATACGTTTGTTTGGGACTGTTTCGGGATTGATTGTCACTAACGGAGCGACAGTCCTCGTACATTTCTTTTTTTTTTTTATTATGTCTTTCAGTCGGTAGTTTATTTGCTTGAAAGGACAGCCAGCGACAATGGGAACAGATGTTGAGCGGAGTTGTGTCTGCAGGATACTCGGGGTACTGGACCTGGAAGACAGGACCTGGAAATAAAGGATTAAGATCCTCTTCCGCCTGTCCGTGGCCGACGTGGTCGGTGTCTTCCGGTATCTGCATACGTGAAACGCTGGCACCTCGAGCATCGCCCGTTGAGATGCGACGTCTTCTCCTCGCATCTTTACCTTACGTACTTTACGTACGACCTGCTTCGCTGGAAACTGAGGTGGCGTTACGCGACGGTCTTTTCTATTATCTCACCCGGAGAGAGAGAGAGAGATTTTCGTGATGATTACCGTTATATTGCCTCGTCAACAGACTGCGCGTGCATTCTGCAGCAGTAATGCTCCTTCAGCGTAACGCCACCTCTTTTCATAATATCTCCCGCGGCGACACGCGGTAGAGACGACTTTTCTCCTTATAATGCCAATTATATTTTCAAAAACAGAATAAATCTTTTCTAATGTACGTGTTAACATTTTGTTTGTTTTAACTGCAAATCCCTTTTACAACCGTCCCTCTTACGCGAATAATGTATCGTTAACCATATATACGTTCTTAAAATTTTATCTTCAATTTTAGGTTTATTTATAGTTTGTAATATTCTGTGCAGTAGCTCAATGAACAAAGGAAAATGGACGAAAGTCATCTGTACGCGGGTTGTCGTGAGCAAGGGTGATAATAGTGATGATGGGAGATATCGCAAGGGGTTGCCGATTCGACTATCCCTTACATAGTCTCACCATTAAGAAGACAATCAAAGTTAAATGAGGCAACAGGTTGTGTGAGGAACGAGTAGCGCAAACAGGCGAATCGGCGGATCTCGTGGATAGGGTCAACAAGAAATCACTCTACGCCGGCGACACGCGCACCAATCTGGCGGGCGGTGTCGGCAGAGATGCGGGAAGAAGAAAGAAAGAAATAAATAAATAAATAAAAAGAGAGATATCAAAGGGAAAAATGCATCGCGATCCACTGCAAAACGTAGCCGGGACGAGTTCGACTGCATTCTATTGAAAATGAAATTTCGATGACAACAGCCGAAAGCCGAACCTTCGACGAACCTCTCGGAATGGCTTCCTGGACAGGTCCGAAGGTTGACCTTTGGCGTCATGGGTTTGAGGAAAGGTAGAATTGCAGGCCACGCGGTACTCACCTCATATTGATGAGATACTGTGCCAACGCCACGGCGTCCGGGTTCCCGGTTATGGTGATCGTGCGATCCGTTGCTCCGCCCTCCCTCTCCTCGCAGTTGCTGATTCGGATCATGGCGCCGGAGATCTGACGGATCTCGGCGATCTTGGTACCGCCCTTCCCAATGATGCAACCGATCAGCTCATTTGGCACGGTCATCTCATGCGTCTGATTGTTCGCCGCCGGTTGCTGCCTGTTCGTGTTGCTCGTACGCAGCTGGCTTCCAGCCAATGCGGCTAACGCTATGCGACCATCAATTGCACAAATATTAAAAAAGTTCCTCCCCGAATTTCGATTGTAATGAATAGTACAGAAAAGTTTCCCTTTATAAAACTAGAAAATCGATGAGGCAAATGGGAGAAGAAATACGTTTGTGTAAGACCGCTCCCATAAATTAGTTGCATTTGAAGTTGAATTGTGGTTTAACTGATACTATCGCTCTTCCTCTAGAACTCTGATAAACTTTAACTAATGTTTGTGAGAACAGTCTATAGATAAATTTAACTTCTCATTGCGGCATACAAATCTGTTTTAGCGTAACTCTTGATCGATAAAGTTTGTTCACGCAGGAAGAATTCATTGCGATACCATATTGACTATCAACTTAGTTTTGAAATTATAGATTTCCAAATACAAATTTCAACATATGCTACGTCTACTGCCAATTGCCTCATCAATTGCGGTTAATTATAAATTAAAAAAAAAACGAATTAGAAATAATTATAAAAATATATCAAAATAGATAAAAAAATTATTACTTTATATAACGTAAATTCATTTTCTTGCGAATCGTAATAGTCGAGAAGGTTGATACCGCTCGACGTTGCACGACTCAATACATACCACAACGAAGATAAAGAGATAAAACGAGTGTATCAATTTCTATACATAAACTTTTTGCAAGATAGAGAACAACATCGACGAGTACGATTGCCGATCTACATTTTTTTTTTTTAAGACTTGTATTGGAAACTTACCTGCTGGATTAAGACCACCCGTGTTCGCCGGTGTGGCAAGACCTCCAAGGCCTAAGGCTGCTAGTCCAGCCAAAGGATTGCTGCCCAACTTGCCCATCTGCAACAACGACGAAGAGATCCATCGTTCAGAAATAAGGGGGTCCGCAGGCGTCGGACAATCACTCGGGGGGTGTGCTTAAGAGGAGTTGGGGGTTTACGACGACACCGAGAAGTATATCTATGTATGCTTGAACATGTTCGCCACCTCGCACGTCACCGCTCGAGAATCGTCAATTGCGAGCAAGAACTCTTAGCTCAGGGGCAGCCTCGCTGAGAGAGAACGTTCGGTTCTACGAAAGAAGGGGGTCGGGGGGGGGGGACTCCTCCGCAATCGATTTAATTCGACCATCCCGAACTCATCCCGTCGTGACGCACATGATCAACGCCTCGTCCCGACTTCCTGGGACCGGTTCCGACGGTTTCCTCATAACGGGCTCTACGACGGCCATTCGAGCGTACCGTTTTCAATTACACATATCGACCCAGAGCAAAGACTTCAATGTAGCGAATAGATGAAGTTCCAACGACGATTGTTCTTGCTCGCTTCTCTTACGTTTACGCGATAAGATTTGCTAGATCGTTAAAATTTATCTCTGCGTACATGTTATCTTTTCGTGTCAATAAAGCGATACAAGAGTTAATGTAAAACAGAGAAAAGAAAGAGCTATCCTAGCAATAATCAATATCCAAGAGAAGGTAGTTAAACTTCAGTTCAAACGCTTGTAAAAATTTCGTTATCCAACTTTCAAATGTTTTGAAAGTTGATCATACCGTGATTATACCCGATCTATTTTTAAAAATATTATTTTCTTTCTCGATTTTTACAACATAATCCATCGAAAAGATTCCCTCGCTTCTGACGTCATAATGTATATGCGGAAATTGAAGCGAAGTATAGCCGCGTCTACCAGTCGCTGCCTTAAGCAGTCTACATTCCGCGCATTTATCGCAAAAACATAAAATCTCGCGTGGCTCTGAAATGCATTAAATTGACAAACGGCGATATAACCCGGGAAGTTGCTCTGGGTGGATAAACGGCACGCGAAATGGCTGTCGATAAGATATAAACTGTTGCGAACCGCGTTGCGTTACTTCGAAAATCGTGGCAGAAATTACTTAAGGACAGCTTGATGAGGAAGGGGCGCTCAGAAAATTTACAGAAAGAGAGAGCGAACGAGCGCAGAGAGAAGAGGATATCCGTGTGTATCCTTATATACTCTCGCGATTACCGTTAAATCGCGCGAAACGTAACGCAGCAATTTTCTTTGTGCACCTACCGTTTCCACGTTACACACAAATACTTACATGAAGTTTAGCATCGCTTTATTTGCACCGAGAAAGATTTTAGCGCAAGATATCGTCAAGTGTAATCCACTACGATCCTATTAACGGCATGTTGCAGTTATTATAATCAGAAAATGACTAAATATTCTAATAATAATTAGTCACAAATTATTTTGATTGGCTGCAATAATTATTTAGTAAACATTAAAACGAGCTAATCGTTTGAAGCAAATATAAAATATCTGACGAAAAAAATTTTATCTAATTAATTGTATCAAACTAATAATATTATTCTATTTTTATTTTTAATAAAGGATGAAATGAAAGGTAGACGGGAAGGGTAGGATATATGTATGTCGTGACCTTAAAAACGAATGATAATACTTCATTCTCTATATCACTGTTATCATCTAAACTATAACTTATGTGCAAAATTTCTAAGCGCTGTTGCACCATATGAAATATGTCTTGAAATCGATATATGTATATATATCAAGATAATATATGTATACGCATCAATAACATACATTATCTTAATATACATGTTTACATTGGTGTGATATACGTAGAATGTAAATATATGTAAAACGTTTAATAACAACCGAAGAATACTTTATACTCGCTGGGTTCTTCAATCATTAGTCGCATGTATTTTCAGTAATCGAAAATTTGAGAAAAGAAGTTTGGAATGTTTACAATCGCGCGCTCGCAATAAATTATCTGAAAAAAAGTATTAAGGGTCTAATTCTCACGAATATGTAAACGCCGCCTCTCGTTGACACAAATCGTCCCGATGTGATCTCTCTCTAATGTGCTTAAATGGTGGAAACGTAATGTACAGGGCAGCCCACCCTTACACGAACTCGTCGCTGACTCTTAGCTAAAAGAGTGCCGGAAGCCATGCTGTTCTAAACAGGACGCCAAGAGGACAATGAGCAACTCAGGATGGAGGTGGAGAAACGAACAAAACGTAGCGCGACGAAGAGCGATATTAAATGTGTGTACGTGTATTTACGCCCGTGTATGTGTATGAAAAGGATCTTATCTTTTATTTCTCACGAGGTTAAACAGAGATTTATGAATATATAAACGTAATTAGTATATTTGATAGAATTTGATATGTCGTAAATAACTTATTTATTTTATACAAGCTACTCAATAGTTAAAAGAAAATTAATAATTTTCAAAAGCATTTTTAATTTCAATCGAAACACTCAAAATGTTTCACTTGGATAAAACACGATATTAAATATGATTTTAATTTCATATTGTCTTTATTTTTTTTTTTTAATTTGTTTTGTCTTCCTATTTGAACTGAAGTTTAAAGTTTATAAAATCATAGTAAAAAGTGATGGTTTTAAACTTTTTCTACAATTTTACAGCAGATAATTTATAATTTAAATAAATTCCGTGAATTAGTTTAGATTTATTATAGGCAAAAAATTTTTTTTAAATATGGTTAACAATTATGTATAATTAAAATAAAATTTCACAAAATCCAAATTTGGACAATTGTGTTTAATATAAAATGCGAGAAACAAATGTTTAGAAACACGCGAGAACTAGATTGAAATTGACGTTTTTGCTTTGCGTTTTCTCCCGCGAGTCTTGATGGAGGTTTGGTCGTGACTGGATAAGGAAAATTCAATTTTAAGGAGAGCAGGGACCGATTCCTTATATGAGGCCCGTGTAAAGATAAACAGAAATAGAAACACAAAATCAGAGACAGTGTACCAGGAGAAGAAGCGAAGTAGTAACCGTGTACTGTAAGCCGTAAGAGTTCATCAAGCAGACTGAGAAACTGAGAAAGTATTAAAGATGGGATCGGTGAAAGTAGATATAAAGCGCAATAGTAATAATATATCTAGGTAATCTACCTCTTTTCGTGCCACGCATGCATGTCCTCGTTCGTTTGTGATTTTGTCATAATATTATTATTTATTTATCGCTTCTACCGATCAACCTCTTTCAGCCACGTCTCTCGAAGTTAACGGACAATAATCGAACTGGAAGAAAGGAAGTATAACGAAAAGGACTAAGAACAAAACAAAAAAAAAAGAACTAAAAAACAAAAAAAACGAATAAAAAAGAACTGATCAAGCATATCTGTGGATAACGGGATGTATCGTGGACACGTTCCTTTCTATCGCGCATCTCGTGTTCGTTCGTTTCGTTTCCGGGTAGCAAATCGGACTCGAGGAAGTCGGGCTCCGTGTCGGACGTCGGTCGTTGAAGAGCGCACAGAAAGAGAAGATAGGACAGAAGGTGAGACACGACGACACACCATCCTGATAATGCTTTATCAAAACATTTTTATATGATCGACCTCGAAAGTTTCGTCGTACAAAAAATTACAATTTTCTGTTGAAAAAAAAAAACTTTACAGAAAATAAATGTATGTACTTCAACATAAATCAACAAATTGAAATAAATAAAAAGCGAGTAACTTTGATCTATTTTTAGTGTAACGTAAAATTTAATTTACATTTACATTTTCAAAGCGTATGAAATTTACCAGAATTATTTAATCATTAAAAAAGCAGAAGATTGAAACTAGCTCTGACAATTTGATGTTCTGATTACTATCCAAATATGAAGATATAAAACAACCTTTTTACTAAATTAGACTCTACCAACCGAGTTGTGATATATAAATATGTCAAAAAATTAGCAGAGAGTGTAAACTGTCGTAATTAAAAGAATGACATAGTAGGTACTCGACTGATGAAACCCCCTATCTAGAGAACGATTCAATTAATCATATGGGCATTTATCAGGGTGACGTTTCATGGCATCTGCCGATCGATCGGCCGGATGAGTGGATTTTTAAAGCACTACCATAGTAGCCCGGAATTAGAGCGTCGGCTATTTGGTGATTTGGACTCCTCATTGATCGCAAGTCGTTCGTTGAGACTTGTAGCGGTAACATCTGGGACCTTCTATACGTCTCTCTCTCACTCTCTCCCTGACCGAATCCAACGACAAGCCATGACGAATCCATTGTGCGACCCGTGAGCAAGCATTCATGCTAAGCAGGCCCGATCGTTCGGCGCGAGGCTCGGAACAAATCCCCATTTTGCCTCCAAGTTCCTTCCGAGAGAGCGCACAAATTGCTGCTCTCGGACGATGATCGTATCGAGAAAACTGGGCTATTTATCTGCTCGATAGTCTGCTCAGTACGTCTGTGCCGAATACATATTACAGAGACCGATCAACTCTAGTGCATATCCTGTATTTTTCTCATCTAAAAATAGATGTCAACGATAGGAGAGAAATGTAGATTATACATAAAAGAATAAGACAGCTAATTGGTAGTTCAATACGATCATCAATGGAACGATATAAATGCAGTGGCTAAATGCACGATCAAAAGTTTCAGATACCAAGTTGCAAATAAATATTTAAAATTTGAATATGTCACGATATTTTGCATCGTTATCGTAAGAGAACGCGAATCGGTTAATTCCTAATGTGTCAAAATAAAATAAATAAAAACAATTAATCCCTTGGAACTAAATCGCGTACAAACATAAATATTTATTAAAATCAAATGTATTAACGCGGTAACGCTTTTGTTACTTCAACCTGGTATCGGAGCTTATATTACAATCGTACAATTGCACTCCTTTTACATAACATGCTTCTTCAAATTTCTCTATGCACTGTGAAGGACGGCAAGCAATTTTTATGGTGATCAACCCACTACCAAACGCAAGCATACGGAGGGAGATACGAGTACACAGATTCAGGTCGAGCTTTCTTTTGTTTGAAGCGTCGGTAAACATACAGGATTTAGGAAAAAAAAATAATCCAAAGAGGAAAGCATGCACGTAACAGCACATGCGCGGATTACATATAAAGCAAAGCTACCAAAATCTCGCGTGACTTCGCACTGATATCGTAAAATTATTAAAAGATATTTGTTCCTTCTAAAAATATAAAAAAAGAAAACGAGCTTTCTCAATCCCTATGATTATAATATAATTTATATAAAAATATTAATAAAAAAAAAGATTACGAACGTTCCGTATTTTTTATGTCAGAAGCCTTCCAATGTTGAGTGGCAAAGTAGTTTCTGATATAATTGCACTGGAAGTTACTATTAAATGTAATTACAAACATGCCTTATTTCGTTCCACCATGTTACGTTTTAATCAGATGTTTCTGCAACCGAAGTCACGCGACTAGAAAACGTTTGAAGATATATGTACGGTCGGAGCTAATCGTGCGACAGGATCCTTTCGATCGCGTCTTCACGCAATCGAAGATAACTTGCAGGATATTGCGACACGAATATTCCTGGATGGAAAACTCGAGACCGTACAGGGATGTCGAGCAGAAAAGCCAAGGTATTGATGCAGATACGCGAAGGGAAACAGGGGACAGAGCAAAGAGTTTCAAGAGGGAGAGGACCAAGTGACCTAGATAATAATGAAGTATATTGATAAATTGAGCTTCCACGGCATTTGGCAAAAATTGGAACAATCTCGAATCCAGAGTTACATTGAAATAAATATAAATTCTTTCACGCCACTGCATTTCTTGCTGCTCTGTAACTTTGTACTTATACAAAGTAATTATAAACGAGATACGAAGAGATTGCTTCAATATGTCTAAATGTCATCTTGCTTATTAATGAGAAAGGGAATGATTTTCAAAACATAATTTAAGAGAAATAAAAGCGTTACGTAAACTATGTATCAGCTTCGAATGTAATAAATATCTCGAATTATTTTGTAAATTAATGTTTTAGCTCACTGAATCTTAAATAAGAAATTACTACAGCGCCAAGATTCAAGTTATTCGATAAGTTTTAATAAAACTAACCGCAGAAAAGATCAAGAATCACGACTAAATAAAATCTCTACGTTAATCTTTAAATTTCATTTCTCACAATTATCGCGCTCTTTCGCCTTCAACGACAGTCACAGTTTGGTCGCTGTTGCAACAAACGAGTAACTATATACGCTTGACCATTCGTTTATCTATAAAACTTTCTACCCTCCGATTGCGCATTAACTTAACCGCAAATTAATCCCACTAATACCATGAACAAGCGTAGAATTCGTTGCGCAAGTGATTTCTCTTTCTCAACTACTATATGAAAAAAACATAATATAGAGATGGAAAAACAGACTGCAAAAACAAATAAGAAATATCAATTCCCAACTGCGTCAATACTAGCATTTCAGATTTTCAGTTAGGATTATCTAGGTTTCTAAAGTAACAAATTATTGTACTTCTCGATGAGCCACCTGACTCTTTCTTCGCAATTATTCCAATCTTGGACTCATATGCCGAGGTCGCCGCTTTAAAGTTTTGCCGGATATATTAAGAACCATGTGCAGTGAGGAGACACTGAACCGGGAGGGTGTATAAATTTTTCGGACAAGTGGAACGGAAATCCATCGTACGTATATTGTTACCCGGGAGATATATGTGGTAGCCAGGTTGTTGGTGATCGAGAAGGGGTACGGGAGAGGGTGGAGCACGAAAAACAAAAGACTTACGGCGTCTGCCACGAGGTGTGCGGGCGGGAGGGCTGCCTGCAAGTGTCCACTCTTCAGCAGGGGGTCGGCGAGGCCTGCCACGCTGGCGTGTAAGGGGCTCGGGTGGAGAGGATGATGTGGGGTCGTAAGATGGGCCGTGGATAGGAGCGGGTGCCCGTGAGAAGCGGCGAAGGCCGAGGACGAGGGGTGGGCCGCGAAGGGCGAGGTCGTCAAAGTTTGGGGGTTCAGCGAGGGCGGGGGGGGCCCGGCAGCGGGCGCGGGCAATGGTAATACTGTACTTACGTCCGAGTGGGCGGGCACCGCGTAATTACCCTGGATGGTGTAGGCTTGCCCACCAGCCAGGATCACTGGCCCACCGACTTGGGGTTTGGGGCGATAAGGGATCGTGGCACCTTTGGGAGGGGACTGAAACAGAAAGAAACACACGCACGAGTGCGAATACACCGATCGAGCCATTACATTTGGTATAGCATCCGTGTTATCATTAAAAAATGGCTCTTTTTTTTTATCCTTTTGAAGTTCAAAATAACATATTGATTTGAATCCAAAGAGTCACTTCCTGGTCGGAAACTTTGTCTACAGCAATAAATACATACACTGCGTCTCTTTGAAGAAATTTATAACTAATAAAAAAAATTCAAGCGTAATCAAAATTTTTATTCTATTACTAATTTACTCTGAACTTCTTTAATAGGTTAATTTAATATATATTATAATTCGGTAAAATATTTAAATGTGTGCGATCATTTTTTGAAGATTGAATCAATATAAGTATTACTTTAAGTCTCGGTGCTGTTTGTCAGCAGATCAGTAACTGTGTAAACCTTTGTAGACATATATTTAATGAAATCAATGGCACACTCATAAGAATGATTATGTAAGTTGTTTTTAGCTATAGTCATTCCGAATGATGCAATTTCTATATAATCAAGTACCAATGTACACTGTGAGACTTGTGAGAAAACGAAACCGTTGCGAGGTTGCAGGACGATGGGTACGTACCTCTAGCATAACGCAGCAGATATGATATATGCATTGCGTGATCGCCTCGCTGGTACCGGATATGGTTACTGCACGTTCCGTCGAATTAGGCAGCATCTCGGAAGCGACTTGGATGGAGGCGCCAGTAACCTCCCGAATTTCTTTGATCTTAGAGCCGCCCTTGCCGATCAGGGAGCCGCATTGCGAAGCGGGGACGATCAATCTGAGTGTGATCGGCGGCCTCGATACACCACCGCCACCTCCGGCACCGCCACCCTGAATGTCGTGGAACTGCGAGCACCACTCCTCGAACTTCTTGCATATCAGCGTGAACGCCTTGAAGATCGAGTTCGTCGGCCCGGTGACAGTCACTATCCGTTCCGGGCAGGAACCATCGGAGATATTGATTTTCGCGCCGGACTGCGTTGGGCGAACGGAAAAAAGTATTACCGATCATAGGTCTTCGTATATTATATAAAGCTATTTTCAGCTTTCAATATTCGATAATCAATGCCTGCTATTCTAAGAGGTCAAGTCTGTGTGTGAGTGTGTGTGTGTGTGTGTGTGTGAGTGTGTGTGGGCGCGCGCGCGCGCGCATGTCAGTGAGAGTATCATTAAAGTAGAAAACAAACTTAAGAGACGTGTAAATGTAATCTGTCCTTGATAGCTGAAACCGAGCGTAAGGCAGTAATAATAATTGACATGCTTTCACGTAGAATATGATCTCGTGATACGTGACGCGATTACACGTAACTCTTTCTCTTTTTCATTGTCAGAAGCGCACAAGCTTTTGCCTTCAAGAATTGATACTTTACCTCTTCACGGAACCTCTTGACGATCTCTCCTTTTTTCCCGATAATGCTCCCAACTTCCTGTAACAAAATAAAGATATTATGTTAGTTTAAGTGCCGTCTTTCGTAAGATTTTATTATGTACTAAACTCAGTAACACAAACGCTAGCACATGCGCTTGTTGATTTATGCTTCGAATAACGTAGAAATTGTTGATAAAAATCTGTCGATAAAACGAAATAAAAGGATATATAATGCAATATTGCAATAGTTGTTATTTATTATAATATTGTATCATAATAAAAACATATTTGGCACAATACAATTATATATCGGTTGTCAGTCGATAATAATAGAACATATTTTCAATCCGTTCGTGAGATGAAATATTTAATGCACAATTCTGCTAAATACATTGAAATAATCACACTTTTGATATGTCAGTACGTTACGCATAGAAGGAAATAACTGTGCGAGATGTATATGATAAATGACAGAATCGGCACGTGAGTCTATAATTAGTATACATAAGTAGCTGCGACGTCCACTCAGACTTCGCGTCTACCATGATACCGTCTGACCTCGGATAATGTCACTGTTAGGCTTCCGAAGCGACCGCAACGCGCGCGAGTATATTCCTGCGCTCTCTCTAAACTTAGATGATGTCTCCCGGACGAAATGCCAACGTTCCTAGCGACGTTAACGAGTTTCGCGTATCTTGCGCTATCGGTTTATCGTCCCCTAGTTTAGGAGAACAAAGTCTCATGCATCGAGACAGACCGCGTCTGGTACCTCAATATATTTTATCCTCGGAGAGCGGAGTCGCGTGCCAGCTCATATGCGCCAGCGCCCGAGCGAACTCGCGCGCAAACACATTCCGCGATGTGCTGACCCTAATTAAATCTATACACTTCCATAGTTCCGTGCCGTTCGTTTCGCGCGAGCGTACTTAAGTAAAATCATCGACGGCGACAGTCGCGAATTCCTATTGACGTTGTTGCACGAGGTAGCGCGATCGGATAAGCGTCATCGCCGACGAATTAGATGCACGCCGAGGCAAATATAGCTGGAACAAGAAGACAGCGAGGCGATGAGGGAAGAAGAGGAAGGCTTGGCGACGCGCCAGCCACGAGGGTCAGGCGACGATCGGCGAAATCCGCGAGATTGCAAGTCCTCGAGTGAGATCAGATCGTGTCGAGTCCGCGTTATCACTCAGAACAGAACATGTCATGGCGGCTCCTCTGCACGGGCGCCCGCTTCCGAGAGCTATGTATAGCCACGACACTATACCGGTCAATAGTTTGAGCGCAGCCTACTTTGATGAAATAAGATTAAAAGTTTTCCGATATTGTCCTACTTCTGTAAATATACCGCATCGTCATAAAAGGCGGAATAAGGCGCAAAAGGTGTACTGCAACATGCAAAATTTAAAAAAAAATCCCAGCAGTGTCGAGTATCTTAACACGACGTCCGCTAATTTCAATTCAAAAAGCGCCACAAAATATATTCTTAAGTATATATTATAGTAAATAGCAAGTGACAGAAAGATAATCTTATTGAGCTACGCGCTTATCGCAAAGATTAAATCAAAGTTTACTTTGAGCAAATGAAGACTTGTTTACTTGTAGCAAAAATTGAAGCTCTCTCAAGAAGTAATACCGGTCTACGACTGCACACCGGAATGATTCCTGAGGGCTTGCGAGTACGACCAACCGATTGGCCGGTGGCCCTGGCCAACGTCCAAACCTCGCTGGAGTCCAGAGATTTGTCCAAAACAGAATACACCGAGGCGGCGAAAGAAAGCAAAAGGAAGCAAGTCCGTCCCTTTTCCCGGTGTATTTGGGGATTATTAATTGTCATCTTCCCCTCCCGCCCCCCTCTCGTTCTTTCTCTCTCTCGCAAAACGACTGGATTCAACCAGCAGAGCTGTAAAGAGAGATTGGCGCTACATGGTCGAGACGAAAAGAAAATATTTGGACAACACAGGTACGAGTCGGCTCGATAGATGAACTTGGACTCGAGCCAAATATTTATACCGTAATGATATCGCAAGCTCAAGCAGCGGCCATGACTTTGTTCGATGATAACGGGAACAATATCGTTTAATGGAAACTAAAACAGAATCGATAAGGATGATTTTCGTGTAAGACTTTGCTACTGTTCGGTGAAATTAATACGAGCGACGCAATTTTATAATGATGACGATTGCAATTTTTAAGCATAGAATCTTTGCAGAGCGCTTTATTTTACTGGCGGTATAGTTGAAAAGACCGTAGATCAAAATATGTCCCAATTTTTCGTAAAAAATTCGCAAATTTATTTACCTGAGTTTTTTCTTATTAAAATACATTCTCATGTCAATTAATGAATCGTAGTTATGGGGATGAGTCATCGAGATTATGCCATCGGAAGGATAATGGAATCACGATAATTCACGATGCATCGGCCGATTGGCTTCTGGCCCTGGCCGGTGTCCAGTCTGCCCCAGAAGATCACGGTGCGTGCTCCACCAGCAGACATAATGCCTCTCCGGCCAAAAATGCGGCCAGACGTATTTATTTCGCGCGAAGAAGGCTGTCCGACTATCCGTTTACCCGTTTGCAGAGCTTCCAAAGCGAGTTTTGCAATACGCGCGATCGCGCCATTGGCGAGCTGAGTAAAGAGGCGCATAATTAATAAACGTCCGCGAGAGATCAGTGTGTCCGCCATGTCCGAATTGTAACATCGACGCGATGATTCAAAGACATTCGGTTATTTCTTGATTTATTGTATTGAAACTATTGTAAGATGTGATGAAATATATTGACAGATATATACAAGGACAAGAAAAAAGAACTTTAAACGATCTGCCAAAGGCATAGCGAAAAATATACAATCGTTAAATTACGAAAGAGTTAAATGAATATTAAATGTTTAACCTACAGAACAACGTTCCGTTAAAACATTAACAAATGTTATCAATTAACGAAGAAAAATAGTCATGTGAGAGATGTTCGTAACCTTGTAATTGGATTAGTCTCGTAATAAATGTACGCGTAATTAGTAAGGTACTACTTTCCGTCATTAATCTTCAAGCGCGAGTTGATTTTCATCCTGCTGTAACTAAACGCAGACACCTCGAGAAAAAAAAACCTAACGTTGATGAGGGGACGAACCCCTGGATACGCCTGGTGACGTAGTCGACATATCATCGTCTGGACGTAAAAAACATGGGGTATAATGAGATTTGCCACGGAAATATTTTCTCGTACCGGGGACACAGTGGTTCATTTGGATCCGGCAAGAGAAACAGATTCAGCTGAGAGGGTTGACGGGAGAGTGTGTTGGAAAACCCTCCCTC